TTATATAAATATATTGATCGTAATTCGTGCTTAAAGGCACGATAAAATATAAATTTGAGAGTCTAAAAAATCGATTCTATTATATTAATTTTTTAAAAAATATATTAACTATAAATTAATCAAATATTAAATAATTAAATATATGATATAAATGTGTGATGTTATATTTTTAGGGAAGAAATATATAAATTATTAAACATATGATAAAAATAAGTGATGCAATTTGACGTTTGAATCTGACAAATGGATAATGAGTGAGATAAGTGATTGGTGATAATTTTGAAGAAAAAAATATGACTGAAATAAAATTCAAACACACTCCTGTGTTTATTTTATATATATATGTGGGACATTTCCAAATACTCCTAGATGAAGACACGTGTCCTTGGCATCAGTAAATTCTTGTTACTGTAATCACAACATGTACCCGTCGAATCACAAGTCCCTCTTCTCCCGAGGTACTGTTCATAGAGATCAATGACACCCAGTACGTTACGTACCGACACGTATCCCTCGGTCGGGTATGGATTCATCGGTCCCTACATGTACCACTCCCCTCGGTACCGTGATGTACCCGTCCAGGATGACGTTCTCTGCTCCTGCAGAGGCTATTGATGTACAGGTCACTAGCTTAGGCTAGACTAAGTTAGCCATCATGATCTCGTCTTACATAATTGGTGTCAAAAGGCATAAGAAGGCAGAAGACACAGCCAATGGGAAATAGGCGCGTGGCATATTGTGTCACATCAGAGACAAAAGGACTGGATGTCCTTGCTGACACACGACTTGGGAAAGTAAGCATTTAATTACATCATTCCCTTGATGAGACAGCATTTAATGCGGTAAGGCTTGGAAGTGAAAGTTAATAAATGTCTCTAAGACTGGACATTTATTACATCCTTGCCGAGAGGAGCTCATTAAACATTCGGCAGGGCAATGACACATCATTGGTTGCTCGGGATCCGGAGTAGTTAAAAGAGAAGACATTCCTCATAGGAATCAGTGCGCACGTTGCCCGTATCTAATGATCATATACTGACCACACTGACAGCAATCATGAATTTTTGACTTATAAATACTCCTCACAAAAGGCAAGACGATATGAAACGAAAAACCTTTTCTCAAATCTATACTCAGTGTTTTCTTCTTCCCCTCTCTCAAAAACTGACTTGATCGTCGGAGGAGATACACCGAAAAACACTCCGGCGCCCTTCTAACTTGTCTTTCTCTGTTCCAGGAACCTCCCTCAGCCTTACTGGACCACTCCTTTGATCCACGAAAGTCACCCATTATCGTTCCAGGCCAGCAACGGATCTCAACCTGTTCCAAATAGCAAGGTTGATCATTTGATTGACTGACTCGAGTTCACCACGGGAGAGATCTGTTCTCGTGTTTATATTGTGCAAGATCCTTCACGNTACAGTGTCAGCGTCATTTGAAAAATATAATTAAAAATTACTCGATTGTTCCATTCCTAATATGGGTTGTTTGATAACAACACTTAAGACATAAAACTGAATACTTTAAGCACTTGATGAATAAAGCCTGTTTGATAACTTATAATTCATACCACTTAATGTTTTGAAACACTTCCTAAAAATAAGCTAAAAATTTAAGTAGCAAATTATCTACTTATCACTTAATGATGAAAATATTAGTTAGTAAGGATTTTATAAATTCCTTATAATGAACAAATATACTCTCAATGCATTTTATATTTTTAACTTTTCAATCCTCACACTGCACCTCCACAACAACCACCATTGTATCGTCGCCACCACCACCATTGTGGCATCACTACCACCACCATTGTTTTTATTACATTTGGGTAAATGATGTACTTTGCACAATAAAATGTAAGCATGTATCTTAAATATTCATGTTTATTGTAGTCATGAAGAAAAAACAGTCCAAGAGATCCATTACCAGTACATATACTCATTTTGCACTTGTGATTCATGTGTCATTTCTAATAAATAACCTTCAAAGTTCTTACACTATCATCATATGATAGGAATGTGGAAAAAAAAAGAGGAAAGAATTTGGCATTCCATCACAACTTGAGGAGTAATACTCCATCCAACATTCTTTTTTTGGATCAATGCTTCATCTAACATTAAAACAAATGAAATCCAGGTAAGACATTGTCACGCAAATAAGATTGACGGACATCTTCTATTACATCTATATGCCAAAATAACAAGAATATCTCTTAAGAATTACTAATCCAAAAGATAGGAAGAAAAAAAAATCCAACATATCCCTTAATCAAGCAAATTATGAATCAAGTTTATCTAAATCGAGCAATTTCCCTTAATGGTCCACCAATTCCACAACCTACATCTGACAACTACAAGGACATCACAAGCATTGAACAACAATATGAAACGACAAACCCAGTGAAAAGTTGAGTCAATAATTGATTTCAGGCCTAGTTGTAAAGCAAGAAGTGCTCATACCGCTTAATGCTCTATCGAACAGACTCTCTTTTCCATGTACAGGTGTAAATATAATGCACCTGGTCAGTAACTTACTAGAAGCTATTGTGGAACACCTAACAATGTATGCCCACATATGACTAAAGAAAAATTGAATGACCGTAAAATTAAATTTGAAGAACAAAATCACAAGAATAACTTTAAATAAGACTATAATAACCTGGGCGCAAAAGGGAATGAATCTCTCCGGCCTTATTCACAGAAGCTGGAGAGAATCATTCCCTTTTTGGCTTAATCGCATGTATATGTAAAATTGTGCCTAATAATTTTTAAAATATGAATTTTAATTTTAGGTTAATAGAATGGTGAATCACCTAAACTAATATAGACTCTAAAACATGAACCTTTAATTTCGGTGGTACAAAGAGACTATAGTTTGGCGAGAAAAATGTTATTTATACATTGTTTATTAATCTGAGGCACCAGAACAATTAAATTTATAACTAATCCTAAGGAATATTAGGGGTCTAGTAGGAAATCACGTGCGTGGATATTTACATGGGTCTCTGACATTTCATTTAAGTGGCGTAGTCCAGGAAAGGACAACAAATGTCGTCCACAAATTCAGAACCAATTGAACACGAAAGTGAGTGGAAAGGTGTACTTTGACTTGAGGCCTCTGGCAATTTTAACACACAAAACCCATCGTTCCCTCGTCTGCTCAACTAAAAACCATCAGTAGGACTAACGTGTTTTAGAAGGTCTTACTCTAACTAACGTTTTTAGATGGTTGCAAAAAAAATGTCAGTTAGTCTTACTTTTTTATGCTAAAAAAGTTATTCCNTCGGGTTGTTTGATAACAACACTTAAGACATAAAACTGAATACTTTAAGCACTTGATGAATAAAGCCTGTTTGATAACTTATAATTCATACCACTTAATGTTTTGAAACACTTCCTAAAAATAAGCTAAAAATTTAAGTAGTAAATTATCTACTTATCACTTAATGATGAAAATATTAGTTAGTAAGGATTTTATAAATTCCTTATAATGAACAAATATGCTCTCAATGCATTTTATATTTTTAACTTTTCAATCCTCACACTGCACCTCCACAACAACCACCATTGTATCGTCGCCACCACCACCATTGTGGCATCACTACCACCACCATTGTTTTTATTACATTTGGGTAAATGATGTACTTTGCACAATAAAATGTAAGCATGTATCTTAAATATTCATGTTTATTGTAGTCATGAAGAAAAAACAGTCCAAGAGATCCATTACCAGTACATATACTCATTTTGCACTTGTGATTCATGTGTCATTTCTAATAAATAACCTTCAAAGTTCTTACACTATCATCATATGATAGGAATGTGGAAAAAAAGAGAGGAAAGAATTTGGCATTCCATCACAACTTGCGGAGTAATACTCCATCCAACATTCTTTTTTTGGATCAATGCTTCATCTAACATTAAAACAAATGAAATCCAGGTAAGACATTGTCACGCAAATAAGATTGACGGACATCTTCTATTACATCTATATGCCAAAATAACAAGAATATCTCTTAAGAATTACTAATCCAAAAGATAGGAAGAAAAAAAAATCCAACATATCCCTTAATCAAGCAAATTATGAATCAAGTTTATCTAAATCGAGCAATTTCCCTTAATGGTCCACCAATTCCACAACCTACATCTGACAACTACAAGGACATCACAAGGATTGAACAACAATATGAAACGACAAACCCAGTGAAAAGTTGAGTCAATAATTGATTTTAGGCCTAGTTGTAAAGCAAGAAGTGCTCATACCGCTTAATGCTCTATCGAACAGACTCTCTTTTCCATGTACAGGTGTAAATATAATGCACCTGGTCAGTAACTTACTAGAAGCTATTGTGGAACACCTAACAATGTATGCCCACATATGACTAAAGAAAAATTGAATGACCGTAAAATTAAATTTGAAGAACAAAATCACAAGAATAACTTTAAATAAGACTATAATAACCTGGGCGCAAAAGGGAATGAATCTCTCCGGCCTTATTCACAGAAGCTGGAGAGAATCATTCCCTTTTTGGCTTAATCGCATGTATATGTAAAATTGTGCCTAATAATTTTTAAAATATGAATTTTAATTTTAGGTTNCAAAGTGGTAATATTTTTTTATTTTTAAAATTATTTTTAAAAAATAAAAAATATTTTAAATTTTTTTTAATCGAGAGAGAAGGATGTGATACTTTTTTTTTTTTTTAAGAGAGAGGAAGAATAGATGTGAGTAAATATGAGTTGACTTTTGATTTTTTTTGTATTTGTTTTTAAAAAATTTTATTTTTGAATTTCTAATGTTTTGAATTGAATTGTAGACCCAAATTATTGAAATTATAATTTTTTGATTGAGTTTAAACTTTTTAGGGTTTTTTTGTAAGGTCTAAAATTTTCATGAATTTAAATTTTTTATGTGGACTAGTTATGTATTTAAAATTATAAGATTTTTAAAAATTTGGACCTAAAACCTATATATTTTTTTTTAATACTGTTGGGCCTGCCATGCACAGGAAGGATTATGGGAAAGACCAAAATGATCCTAATATGGTCGTTCGTCACTCCTTCGGTTCAGCAACAGAACTTAAAGCAAAAGGAATACATTTCAAGTCTAGCGGTACATTTTGTCTAACAGACATCAGCTTCACTTCGTCCTTTGGCTATGGACAGTTGACACTTCCTCCTATGGTACGTAAGGCGCACTCCAAGTTCCTCTTCTTGAACATGATTGCATATGAAATGGCTCCTAACACAGATACTGACCTTGAGGTTAACAGTTACATTTATTTCCTGAATTTACTCAATAGTGGAGCCGACGACGTTATTGAGCTGCGATCTCATAACATAATTTCTAACTCCCGTGATTCCAATGAGGGAGTTGCAAAATTCTTCAACACTATGACTTCTGCTGTCTCACAAGCCAATTTTTTTATCCTTGATGACGTTTGTAATCGAATTGAAGAGCACTTCACTAGCAAGGCAAAAACTTGGATGGCTCAAGTCCTGCATGATCATTTCAGTTCTCCGTGGACTACTGTGGCTTTTTTAGCCGAAATGTTTCTTTTTATCTTAACCTTCACCCAAACCTACTTCCAAGTTGTTCCTCGCTCTACAAACCAAAAGTAAACAGGAGTTTCAGATGAGTCTCATTGCCTCTTCTACATTATTATGTCGAAACAAATAAATAATATGGACATATGGGTGTTTGTTCTATACACCCAACATGCCATGTTTCTCCTTAAATAAATTGTATGTATGTAAAAGGTTTGCGGCTGTGGGATTCTCTTAGATTTTAGGGGCATCCATTCCTGGTCAAATATGTGTGTGTTTTTTACAAGCAATTATGTTGCTATAGTGTGTTGTATTTCGTTTATAGTTTCTGGCTCACATCTTGTAATGAAGATTGAACAAATAATGTGATGTTTATATTAGAAGCAGCTGTTCATGAGTGTACCAGATTTTCTGGGGTGATCTGGATTTATGTACCAATTATGATATTTATCCTTCAATTTTCTAGATCCTTCATCAAATTATAAAAAGATTAACATCGCACTCTAGTTGTTGGATCGTGAGAAACAAATCCTTTGATATCGCGTAGAGGAGAAGCCCAATTTTCTTTGCTCTCTGGTTGTTCAATTTTTGATAATTGAGCTTAAATATTAAAAAGAAAGTAAAACACCTTAAGTAGTGATTGAAGTATGTATCCCATCTCACTTTGATTTTTTAATTTCTAATTATCACTTTAATTCTAAAGAATACAAGTTATTTAGTTCAATCTCTCATTTTCACCCAATTGCAAGAAGAAAGAGAACTATGTGTTGTTTTAGGCTCAAAATCGACTAAAATTCAATTTTTATACTTAAAAAAACTGTTTTGGTCCAGCACATGTTAGTGTCATTATCTTCCTCGTCACCTACGTTATTAAGTCACAAAAGTAAATTCTATGGCTTGTCTGCAGGTGCCACCGCAAGGGATCAATTCTATACTCCCAACATGCTATGCTTCATAGTCATCTACGTTATGAGCCGGGGAACACACAAAGGGATCACATTGCATCTCCTTAAATTAAGTGTATGTATAAATGGTTTTCGACTGCAGTTTTCTTAGATTTTAGGGACATCCCAATGAATCGTGTGTATTTTTTTGAGTGTGGTTTTTTTTACCAGCAATTTTGCCTTTCCCTGATAAAATAGGGATTAAAAGTTTGATATGATAGGTTTATGTATGAAAAAAATAAGTTAAATAAGTTTTTGGGTTAGATTATAAATATCCAAACTAGCAGAAAGAAATTAAAAGGGAGTAAACAGCTACATTGAAATCCTGAATAGACTGATTGTATATTTTGGGGCTGCAAGTGTGATTGTTGTTTAAATCATAGAGGTATTAAAGTGTATTTATGGCATTATTACACCAAAGTCGTCGGTTGGTGGAGAAAAAGAAAGGAGTGGACCGTGCTTAATAATTTATGATTACTGTTTAGGTCACTGTGTAGGCACGATTTGCTCGAAAGAAAAATAAAAATAATAGAGGAGGAGCCCACGTATTTTCATTATTTACTCTCACTTTGTATATAACCTCACATATCTAATAATTGTATATGTGATTGTATTGCATCCAAAGTCTGATAACTCTGCTCGTGAATTATTACCGACAAAGTCCGAGCACTTGTAAAAGTACTATATGATATAAGAAAAGATTATTCAACAGATTTAAAATATTTCGAATAGTTTTTTTTTTGGGAGGGGATATTTTATTGACTTGATACACACACACTACGGGTAATCTGTGTCGAAAGACATAGTATGCAATGTGAATGGTTTTTAGAGGGATATTGATAACTATTAGATAAGTCTACTTGAGACTGTCAAATAAACTTATTGAAGTCTATCATATTTTATATTATAACTAGTTATTGTCTGTGTTTGAAGACACAGAGTAACAAAGAATGGTAAACAATAAACATATTTGTATTCATATCTAAAATCAAATCACAAACATAGATGAGAGATAAATGAACTTAAGTATCGGTTGTAGTGGGGTTGAGAGGTGGTGGGTGGCAGTGGTGGTGGTAAGAGATGGTGATAGTTGTGGTGGATGACAATGACCGTGGTGGTCGTGGCAGTGGCAACAATGGAGGTGGTGGCGATAACGGTAGCAACGACGGTGGCGATGGTGGTGGTGACGGCGATGGCGGTGGCAGTTGAGGTGGGGGTGGTGACGATGCCGACAGTAGTGGTGGGGGTGGTGGTGGCAAGGGTGGTGCGGCGCCATCGCTGCCAACAGTGGTGGCAGCGATGGTGGCTAGAGCGGTGGCGGCGACTGCGGTGATAGTGGGGGGTGGTGGTAGAGGTAATGGTGGAGCAGTTTCAAACACTATTTTTTTATTAAAGTATTTATGATAAATAATTTTTAGAAATACTTTTAAAAAGTCTCTCCAAACACACCCTTAGAGGTCTATTTTTCCTATTAAATTTAGGGTGTTAATATTAGCCGTTAGATTAACTTTAAAGTAAAATTTAAAACGAACTGAACCGTGAAAAACAAAAGTTATTTTGTTTATTTTTAAAATTTGAATTATAAGCTACTTTATTATATATATATAAACAGGAGTGTGTTTGAATTTTATTCCAGTCATATTTTTCCCCTCAAAACCATCACCAATCACGTACCTCATTCATCATCCATTTATCAAACTCAAATGTTAAATCACATCACTCATTTTTATTACATGTTTAATCATTTATATATTTTTCTCCCTAAAACATCACATCATTCATTTCTATCATATATTTAATCATTTATTATTTAATTAATTTGTAATTAATATATTTTAAAACAATTTAAAATAGTGGGATCGATTTTTTTTAAGCTCAAATTTTATATTTTATCGTGCATTCAAGTACGGGTTATGACTAGTATTTATATATTGTTGATCATAAATATATGTATAAGATATAGTAGCTATCTTTTTTGTTTTTTGAAAGGAATATAGTAGCTATCTTGAATGGTATCAAGATGATACGATACCTTGATGTTTAATCAAGATAATTATGTGATACTTTGGACTTCATTCACGGTGATGGCATTGTTTTAATTTATTTATTCAATATAAATTATTTATTACGAGGTCTATACTTAGAAAACTTACTATTTGTAAAGTTCATAGAAACTCGAATAATAAATTAAATTATTTAATTTTATGGGTTACTGGTTGGAAAATGTTACATGCAAATTCATCGCAATGGATTGAGTGACAAAACCTATTTTGTTACTGTGAGAGCCACTGTTGAGAATTTTGCACCTCTGTTGATTTCTTCATCTGCAATGTAATAGCCATGCAATGCAAGTCTACTAAATTTGNTGACAAAACCTATTTTGTTACTGTGAGAGCCACTGTTGAGAATTTTGCACCCCTGTTGATTTCTTCATCTGCAATGTAATAGCCATGCAATGCAAGTCTACTAAATTTGGTGGCCTATATTTGTTTGTCAGTGTTATGTTGGAAATAAAGTTAATAAAAATAATAATGAGATTATTTTAAATCAATTCCATTACATTGAGCAATTATTGAAAAAAAATTAAATGTTGTGACTATAAACCAGTAAACACGTCATATGATCCAAATATATACCTAAATTTTTTATTAGGTGAAAGTGTGTCACAACTAAAATATTTTGAAATTATTGNATTAAATGTTGTGACTATAAACCAGTAAATACGTCATATGATCCAAATATACACCTAAATTTTTTATTAGGTGAAAGTGTGTCACAACTAAAATATTTTGAAATTATTGGATCATTAATGTATTTAACCAATTACATTAGAGTTGATATAGCTTATGTTGTTAATAGACATTGGAAAGTTATTGAAAGAGTACTCAGTGGTCTTCTTTCTAAGATATCCAACGGTATTAGAAGGATTCTGTGATGCCAGCTAGATTTCTGATTTAGATAAAACTAAAGCAACTAGTGGCTATGTATTTATGTATGGTGGAGGAGTTGTAGCTTGGAGAGCTATCAAGGAAACTATTATATCTCGNTAGATATTTAAAAAGTACCGTGAATTGTGGTCTTCTTTCTAAGATATCCAACGGTATTAGAAGGATTCTGTGATGCCAGCTAGATTTCTGATTTAGATAAAACTAAAGCAACTAGTGGCTATGTATTTATGTATGGTGGAGGAGTTGTAGCTTGGAGAGCTATCAAGGAAACTATTATATCTCGGTCTACAATGGAGGTTGAATTTATATTATTGGATATGGCTACAGCAGAACCTACATTGCTCAAGTGTCTCCTATCTGATATATCTATTGGTAGTAAACCTATTCTAGCAATTTCTCTATACTATAACAATTTAGCCACTATTGCCAAGTTAGAATTCAAATTACAATGAAAAGAGGAGACATATATGAATTTCTCATAATTCTATTAAACAATTACTCACTAGTAATTGTACTCGACTTTGTGAGGTCTGAAAATGTTTTGGCGGATTATCTTACCAAAGGGATAGAGAAGATGTTAGTTCAAGATTCATTGAAGGAAATGATACTGAAGCCTCTGAGTTAGTCATCCTGTGGACACCTAACCTCTATGATTAGAGATCCCATGAAAGAGGTTCAATAGGTAAAAATGAAGCTAAGTATGACTATGGTGAGCACTAAAATTATATAAATGGGAAATTCCTTGATCCCATTCCCAAGGTGACAGTGCTCTCTAGACTTTGATGATAAAATGAAGAGTAAATCTCCGAATGAGGCAAATGTAGGATTCTACAAGATATTGATCACAGAATACCCATGGATGACTCAACTATATGTATGTTTGTAGTGAGGCCGCTACTAAGGGATACATGCTAATCCCTAATTGAACAAACATAAAAATTAAGATACACGCGTATGGCCATAAGAGCACCAAATTGACCAGAACTTAATCTAATATCAATACCATGTGTTTGAAAAGTAGAAATCTCAGCCAAAGAATCTAGCTCACTACTTTGTTCCCTATGGTTCTTTTAGATGGAAGTTTGTTGAGCTAAGTGAAGGTTCAAGTCTAAAAGACACCTCACCTATTGTATTGTATTGTTGTCTAATTTTTTGATTAAATTTATTTTAATTTTAAACTATG